GGGAGGAGGGAGGGTGCGGACACCCACCTGTCCCCATCTGGCCCGCCCCACCGCGGCCATCCCCCTGCCGCCGGCCGGCGGACTCTGCAGGTCTCTGCGGGTTTGGGGGAGGGGGGGCAGTCGTGACGGTTGTGCAGGAGTGGAGCTCCTGACCCCCTCCCCATCCCATCAGACTCTTCCCTCTGCAGGGCTGCATATCCTCCCGCCCAGACCCCCGCAGGGTTCCAAGGGCCACACCAGAGTGGGGGCCCACCCCATTCCCAAGTCTCTTGCCCCAAGGTGGGCATCTGCCTGCAGCAATGGCCTTATCTCCCCAGGTCTTGGGACCCGGGGTCCTGCTGGAGCTCTGCGTTGGAGGGTTTCACCCCACTTGTGGGGCCCGGAAGCCCCTGAGGTCACAGAGCCCAGCCGTCTGGTGGGGGAGAGCTCCGGTGGAGAGGTTCGAAAGCAGCAGTTGGACACCAGGGTCCGTCAGGAGCCACCCGGTCGCCCGGTGAGCGGGGGCTGCATGGGGAGGCCAGGGGGCTGGGGCAGGCCTTAAAGCCCAAGGGGGGCTACTTAGTGGATGCTGGAGACCACTAGTGGGAGCACCCCCACCTGCCCCATTCCAGGGCCCCTCCATGGTCATGGGGATCCCCTGCCCTCAGGGGACTAGAATGTGGAGGACTCAGTCCAACCTTGTTCAGCCTTCTGCCAACCGCCAGCCCTCTCCTCCCAAAGCAAGTGGTTCTACTCCAAATGGGGCTTCAGTAGGGCAACAGAGGCAGGAGGCAGCAGCTGAGTCGTCAGGGATTATGGTTCCCGGGTTCTCTCCACAGCCACCCTTCGTGGGCTTTTTGGGAACAGCTTAGTGCTTGCTCCTGCCTCAGTTTCCCCCTGCGCACTGATACGCTTGTTGTACTCCTTCCTGTCCTCGCTGAGGGTGGGGCCTTGGAAAAAGGTCCCAGGTCCCAAGCTCACCCACAAATGCCACCCACCCCCACCCCCTGTCCCTTTCAGCCACCAGGCCCCTCCTGCTTCCCAGAGGAAGGTTAGGAATGAAAGAGATTAATTGCAATTAATAATTAATTAATATCATGTGAATAATAATCACCCAGATGGAATATTCATTCAGCACGCCTCGGCTCCCCAGGAGCTGGAAGCTGAAAGTTAGGCAGGCCAACGGGGGCGATGGAGGGAGGGATGGTGAAGGCCTGGCAGAAGTAGGAGATGGAGAGGAGAGACTCAGAGGAGGCTGCAACTGAGGGCTGGGAAGTTGGGGCAGCTGGGGGTGGTGGGAGGTATGTTGGGTTGGGCAGAGGAGGAAGGAGGGGAACGGAGGCTAACGTTGCGGACATCTGTCAGACTGGCATCTGGCCCTGCCTAATGTACTTGGTTAAAAGCCCTTAGGGGGGGTGGAGGGGGCTGTGGGGGGTGCAGGGGGGGCACTCGGGAAATGGAATGGAGCAGGAAGGCAGCATGCATAATAGATGGACCATCACTCAGGGCAGTGCAGAGGGGGGAGGGGGTGCTTAATGGTCCTGAGCCGGCAGGCCTGGGTGGGATGAGGGTGGGGGCGATGGTGGGGATGTAGGAGGTGTCTTCAGCACCTGCCCAGGCTCCCTGGGAGGTGGTAGATGGGCAGTAGGGATGGTCCCAGGGCCAGAGAAGGGGTGTGGCCCTTAGATTGGCTTCCTTCCCTGGTATCCCCCCAACCTGTGAACTGTGCCCCCCAGAGCTATGTTGTCTGGGAGTTGACGGCCTGGCCTAACTTCCAGGACTCCTGGCTAGTGTTTCAGGGGATGTCCAGGTAGGAGGATGAGATGATGCTGCAGGTGGGGTCAGAGGACAGAAGGGAGGGAAAAGCTTAGGGCCAGGTAGGGAGGAAGAGGGGGTGCTCCGTCAGCCTAGTGCTTCCCGAAGGGGTGTATGCCCTGGGATATGGTGGTACCTGTGACACTGTGCAGAGAGCAGGATGGGTGTCATTAGACTGGATGGGCTGAGTGTGCAGAGAGGGGGATCTCTTTGGGGGTCATTCTGCTGGGTAAGTGGGTGGCATGTGTGCATGTTTGATGTATGTGAGTGACCAAGTCTGAATACGCCCAAGGGAGTGTCTGAGGAGGTGGGGGTGGAGGGTTCTGTGGATCTGTGAAGCAGTGGTCACCTCCAGTGGGGGTGGGGAGGTTTCTCTGGGATTGAGCCTTCCCAGGGACCTCACTGCAACCTCCCCAGGGGACTTACTCAACCTCAGTTTCCCCTGAGGTGGAATTCTCACAACTCTGTGAGGTAGGTAACTTTTGTCTGCCTATTTTGCAGATGCGCAAACTGCGGTTCAGACAGATTAGGTAATTTGCCCAAAGTCAATCAGATCTTAAGCAGTGGAGTAATTTTCTCCAAGGCTAGGTACTTCCCACAGCACCATTCTGCTTCCAGGGACTCTAGATTTTGGCACAGGGGACATGTCCCCAACCCCACCCAGTACAAGGTGAAAGGCCAAGGGAGACAAAAAGACATGTTCAGAATATTGTCCCCTGACCCGAAGGAGACTTTGCAACCCTCTACCTCCTACCTTGCACTTCTCCTTGGAGCACCTCTGGGCTGATGGTGAAGACAGTATGGCATTGAGTCCAAATATCCTAACAGGAAGTACCCCACCCGGGTGCTGTTAAGCTTTGTCTGAAGTTATTGCACTGGTTTGGGACCTGAGGCAGAGCAAGGTGATGGGTCAGCAGCAAGATCTCCATCTGCTGTGGGTCATGTGGCGAGTCTGGGGGCACATGCTGGCCGGTAGGGCCCAGATGGTGGGCCTGGGGGCTCACCTGCCCTGGCTTTGGGCTGGTCACAGCACCTTCCTGAGCCCATCCTAAAATCAGGATGATGATAACATTAATCTCAGCCCCACTCACGACCAGGAGGTGGTGACAGGAAAGGGCTTTGTGTGTGAGGACTCCTGGCTTTTGTGAGGGGGGAGGAGGAAGTGGGAAGATGGTCAGAAGGCGTTAGAAGCTAGAGAAATTACAATTCACTGGGCCCGTACTTGGGGCAGGCACTGTTCTGCCTTTAGGTGTATTAATGTATATCATCTTCATCACAATTCCAGGAGGTGGGGCTACTATTTCCGCTTCATAGATGGGGTAACAGGCACAGAGAGGTGAAGTAACTACCCCAGGTCACACAGCATTTCAGTAGCAGAGTCAAGATGGATACTCAGAGCAGCACTCTTAACCAGTGAACTCCCTGCCTCTTGCTCAGAGATATAGTGAAGGGGGGCACAGGGGACCCTTTGTCCTCTTTGCCACTGTTCTCAACACCTCACTTCTGTCCAGTTTGGAAGCAGGCTGTACCCAAAGCTCACAGAGGTGGGGGAGCGTCTGGAAACCTGTGGTCACAGTGAACCTGCAGCTGAGGGGTGAGGCAGGAGGACAAGCAGGACCACAGTGTACCCATTGGGCTGGTTGTTCACTGCACAAGAGTGCCAGGGCAAGTGGGCTGAATGAAATCAGTGGGCTCATGAAGCTGCATGCGTTCTGAGTGGACCCTTTTTCTAATCCATACAAAGCTGTCGTGTGGGGTGTGCCTGCCCATGGGAAACAGAACTCCTTCAGAACTAAGGAGAGGACAGGACGTGGGTAAGAGAATAGGGCAGGAAGGTGTCGGGTCTCAGGCCCAGGAGACAGACCCTCATCAGAGCCAGCTGGGGGAGGGGGCATCAGTCATTGGACTGAGCTCCTGTGAGAACCGCCCGGACCAGGATTTACTGGAGATGCCACCCTGGAAGCCCTCTGTTGAGGATGCATGCTACAGTGTTTGCGTTTTTTTCCTGCATAGGAGTGGGGGACAGTTGGGCCAGGCTTAGTCCCCATCCCTTGCAAGATGGCAGTCAGGGGCAAGGAGCCACAGGGTCTGTGTCTAGAACTCTAGAAGCCCACTAGAGCCAAGGCCACGCTGTGGTCTCTGCAGCCAAGGTTGCAGTGCTGTCCAGGGATGGGAGGCAGGAGGGGGTCCTGGGAGCGGGGCTGGTGGCTGGAAGCCTGGGCTAGAATTTGTGCTGGGCTCAGCTTGCTCCAGTGAGGGCTGTAAACTGAGCCCTGCCATGAGGTGGGCAGAGGGAGAGTTCACTCAGGAAGCTAAACTTCTACCCGAAAGGCTGCACACGTGGCTTTGGTATGGGACAACCTCAATGGGTCCCGGCTCCACTGCTTCTGACTGAGTGGCCTGGGCCAGCCGCTGATGCCTCCTGAATCCCACCTTCCCCATCCATAAAATGGGGATAATAGTAGTCTCGACTTCGCCCCAGCTGCTGCAAGGATCAGAGGAGATGACATGTGTACCAGTGTCCTGCCTAGGATCTGGCAAGACCAGATAGGTGTTCTGTGAGGCCTGCCCTCCCTCCTGAGTGTCGGGGCCAGGTGCTGGCATGAGGGCTTGGTGTCAGAAACTGGAACCAGGGCATTTTGGGGTTACCTGCCAGGCTCTGGGCGGGGTTCGGGGCGGGGGCAAAGTTGACAGG